TCAGGAACGTTGATTCAAGGTTAGATGTGGGTCCATCTCTTTAAGAGTTAGTAAGGATTTTGTCTTTTTGGTAGGTGTGCTGATGATATGGGGCTGTGATGCTGGTATTTTGTGACGGGCTGTGGTTTTGTTTGTCCACGTAAGCAGGTGAACGTAGTCGTACGGCAATTGGAGTCCATGTCCACGTCAGCTAATAGACTGGTAGGTTTTGGTTGTTGAGATCCACCCAGCCAGTCCAGAGACGGACTGAATAGAAGGTATTTTTAGACTTTAGGGTGAAATGTCTATTTTACAATCAATTAAAAAAAAACAAACATTACAATGGTAGCAACTTAGTAATTTCACATTTGTAGCATTTCAAGATTTAAAGTGCGCAATTACATCTTTTTTATAATGCACATATTTGTATATTTGAATTCAAAAACTTTTAAAGCTTGTATTTAAAGGTATTTTAGTTTTTTTTATTTTTAATAAACAATTAAATGACATATATCTTTAAAGGTGAATTTTATGTATTGGGTTCAAGGGCATTTTTATATTTGCATTTGAGCATTTTTGTAATTGAAGGATTGGTTTGTGGCAAGTATGTAATTTAACATATATAAAAATAATTTAAAAGAAGTTGATGATGAGTATATTCCACACGTCATGAATTGATTTTTTTTTTAATTTGGTTTTTTAATTCAAAAGCATCCATCTTGTCATTTTAAAAAATAATTAATTATTATTATTTTAATTTTAATTTTTTATTTTTTATTTTTAATTTCATCATTTCGTTTGATTTATTAATATTTAGATTTCAAATTGTTTTAGTTTTCATGCTTCCGATCAAATAGGTTGGATTTTAAGTTCTATAAGTTCTCATAGATTCATAATATTTTTATTTTTTACTTTTTTCTCGTTTCCAATCTTATTACTCGATGTTAATTATTTATTTTTTTAAAAAAATAGGATTTATGAAATTTTTTTAAGATTATATTGATTTTATAACGTGTCTTATTTGTTTAACGAGTTAACTCAGATAAGATCATATATTTTTTTAATTGTTGTTTTTTATTTTAAATCCTTTAATATAGTTGATTTTAAAAAAATAAATTACTAGTCAATACGTAATTTGTTGAAAATTAATCTTTATGGTTTTTATATATTTGATACATTAATTTGATCAAATGGTACGGGACAAAGGTTTAGTTAAATTTTATTATTTTATATTTGATTTATTTGAAATTAAACTTTAAATTTTTTTATCTTGTATATTTCATACACGAGAAAATAATTTAAATCATTTTTTTTTAGTCTTGCTCCTTCATTTTTTATGGAATGATATCATAGTTTCATTATTATTTTTATTTTGATAATCTTTTTTTTTTTGTGCATTTCTCATGTTTTTTTATATAAAAAATAGACCTATTAACCGTCCTTGTCAGTTCTTTTATTTTCCATTTAAGCTGTACCAACTTTTTTTTGTCTGGTTGTGTCTACAGCTCAAGTCAAGTTTTATTTTTTTTATTTTTTTTACTTGTTTAAAACATTTTTGTGTCGCCTTTGTGTAGTGTGTTTTTAAATTAGTAAAACAAAAAAAAAATTCAGTTTTCTGCAAAGCGTGGACCCACAAACATAGTAAATTCATTGTTTGGTTTTAAAAGTGTCTCATAAAGTGGTTGTTATTATTTTTTGAATAATTTTTTCTTGTGTTAATAATTTTTTATATTTTAAAAAATATTTTTAATATTAATATATTAAAATAATCTAAAACATATAAATTATATTAAATTTTAATAAAAAAATTTAATTTTTTTAAAAAACACGAATTAAATCACATTTCCAAATATTTCCTAAAACTATTTTAAAATAAGGCAGCTTTCGTTCTTAGTTGTTTATGTTACCTCTATTATATAATAGATGTTTTGTTATATATATTTTAATTATTTTAATATGGTATGTTGAAAATAAAAATAAATCTAAAAAAATATTTTAATTTATTTTAAAATAAATTTTTTTTTAAAAAATACCACGCATCACAATCTTCAACATGCATTTAGAAAGCATGAATATCATGTTACAAGTCCATTATACTACTCCCCCGGCGCATCATGTAGTAATATGTCTACTTTTTAAATCCAGGGAGTTTAGCAGCGTAATATTTATTATTTTTTAAAATATTTATTATTTAAAAATATTTTTTTAAAAAATAATTTTAACATTAACATATTAAAACAATAAAAAACATTTAAAAAATAAGTTAAAATAAAAAATAAGTTACATCTCAATGTCAAATAATTATTTTTTTAGATTAATATCAGTGTTCAAGTCACTTGTTTCTCAGTTAATCTTATAAATTTTTAAATTAATAATTATATAATTTTTTAATAATATTAAAAATTATAAAATTCCAACTAATAATATATAAAATAAATTTAATAACTAACCAATTAAATTACACATTCCAACAATTACTTTTCAATCGAATAGTAAGCAATTAAACATGTATTTGACATGATTTTTAAAGGCCCTCTATCGATTATTTTGACACGACGATTAATATGTTAATTATTATATTGGTGTAAATTTATTATCGAGACATCTTGCGCTGGCATCATAGGCATCACATGGACGAGCCCTTGGCTATTAACGTAAGAATTAGTGTTTATTTAATACCATGGTATATGATATTTTTAATTAAAAATTTATTTTTTAAAATGTTTTTTATATTAGTATATTAAAATTATCAAAAAATATTTTAAAAAATATTAATTTAATACTTTTTATGTATATTTTTTAAAACATAAATCACAGCCATGCTAAACTTACATTTGATGCCAAAAAATCAAGGGAACAAGTGGTAAAAAAAAAATCTATTAATAACTATAATATTAAAAAATAATAAATATTATTTATAGAAATATATCTTATTTGTAACTTATGTTTTAAAATATAAAAAATTACTTTAAAAATATCATAAATACAAAAAATAATCTTGTCTCTATCTCTATCTGTTTAACTAAATACATCTATGTTTTTACTATCTCCCTCCCTCCTGCCTGTAATCAAACACTAGCTATATAACCATGTTCTTGGCTCTTAGTGTTTGTTTAACACCATGATACTTTTCAATTAAAAATCTAATAAAATAATTTATTTTTATTTTTATTTTTTATATTAATACATCAAAAATTTCAAAACACCTAAAATTAAAGACAACAATTTAATATTTTTTTATGAAAAACATCTTGAAAAATCATAAATTACCATAAATGCAAACATCTTGATCGAAAGTAATAAATTAACACATGAGTTGCGAAAAAAAAAATCTCCGGATATCGTCATTAATTAAACAAGAAAGAAGCCAGCCAAAAACTTGAGTTGCGTAAAGGGAACTAGTCCAATTCGCATAGAAGGAATGGGGGACAACTAAAATTATAAATGCACACGCGCGCGCGCCCAGACACCTCGGAAGATAATTTTCTGTAGCTTCACGACGGCTGGAGCGGAGGAGTGATCTGTTATGTAACCGTGAAATGAAATTGGCGAAAATTCATGATTGCTGCACTTGTTTTTTCATGAGATTTAATGCCTGCGGTGAAATAAATAGTAGTAAATTAAACTGTGTTTTTGATCCACTAAAATATTGAGTTTGAAGTATAGTTTTTATCTAGTAATTTTTATATATTTTTTAATTAAATTTTATTTATTTTTGTGTTTTATAAATGTTTTTGAAAAAATTAATTTTTATTTTATTTTTACTTTAAATTTATATATTTTTGATATTTTTAAATTATCTTGTTGTGTTGATATTAAAAATAAATTTTAAAAAATAAAAAAATATTGTTTGATATATTTCTAAATAATTTTTTTTAAAATAATTACAATCACATTTTAACTAAATATTTTATATATATATATATATTTTGCTATATATAAACTTTAATTATAATTTTTATCAAATATATATTTAAATCAAACAAACCATAGCTAACTACACTAATTTAAAATTTATTTTTTAAAACTATAGGCATGAAATCTATCTAAAAATAACCACACTCTAAAAATGAAAAATGAATATGCGTGTCAAGTTAGCAACACGAGAGAATATAAAGAAATTCAGAGACATTCTTGGAAAGGTTCATGGTGGAGATAAAATAAAAGAAGGATAGCTCAAATGGCTTGGACCAAGGCCTTCCATCTCCACTAGCTTGAAAGAAGCAAAAAAATAAAGAGTATAAAATCTAGAAAAGTAAGGTATTTTTTAATATTTTTTAAATATAATTATTTTTTTTATTTTTAACATTAATACATCAAAACTGTTGAAAACCACTAAAAAAATGAATTTAATATTTTTTTAAATCAAACATATTTTTAAAACAGGATTAAAATTTAATTTTTAAACATAAAAACGAACAACTAGAGTAGCATGATGGAGACAGTGAACAGAAAATATACAGTTGCGCAGCTGTAATTAAATGTAACCTTTTGTGTTGTTTTTTAAGTGTCCATTCATGCTGTGATCTTCGTTGTCGCAGAAGTGAAATGACATGGAAGCATCTGTGCTTACGTAATTTTTTGTAAGAAAAATGTTTGTGCATAGCAAATAAAATTCGATTCAAACATTCTTTGTGATTGGTCTTTTTGAAAAATATACTCTACCCGTTTTGTCTTCTCCTCTCTTTTTATGTGTGCGTATATATGTATATTGGTTTCGCCCTTCAGAAGCCATTCATCATGACGACATCGATCAGTGTCAATGGGAATGCACAATCCATTGCAGAGCAAAGAATCTAGCATGGCCTTAACTAAGGAGAGGGATGAAATCAAAGGGGAATTAAAGCATGACAGTGTATGGATCCCATGGCGAAGTACTGTGGATATGCGTTCATATTTGATGTAGATGATAAAAAACGACAACAGGTGCCTTTCTTTTCACAGTGACATCACCATTACTGGAATCACTTCACTCGCTTTAAATGGAAAAACACACAAGGAGTCCACATGGACCATTAGAAGCTTGTGGCACAGGCTTTTAAACAATAGTTGACTTCTTCAAGACTTTGATAAACACGCATAACCCATATAAATCCTCCCGGGAAGAAGCAGAAAAATCATAACGGATCATGTTGGGTAGCCTTGGAGAGGAAGAGCTCGATCAAATGATCAGAGACTACATTGAATCAGATCAATCAACCTCACCAACTCCAGTGTCAAAACCTGCCCCCAAAAAATCTCAATCAATCTTGCAGGTTTTCTTTCTATAACCTTCTCGTTGTTCTTATCAGCAAAATTATTGCATTACCGTGTTCTCGCTGGTGTTAAAATTCTCAATGTCTGATTTTAGTTGTTATATGTACACGCTTGATTTTTATCAGGATATTCTCTTGGAGGCAACAGATATTGAGACTCAGCTTCTTGACAAGGTCTTGATGCATGTTAGAGGTATGGGAGAACCCAATAGTCTCAAAGAATGGGTGGTCAAGAGGTTGCAAATGGATGGTTATGAAGCTTCTCTATGTAAAACCTCCTGGGTTTCCTCTTTTGGCCACGAAGGTACATTTCTTTGCTCTAATTGAATTAACACACAGAATGATTGGTGAATATTGTTATTATTTTTACTCTTAAAAAATCTGTCTGGGGTTCCAGTTATCCAGTTTACAGGAGATTACGATTACATAGATGTAATGATCACGGACCAGAACTTAAGCAACAAGACAACAAGGCTGATAGTAGACATGGATTTAAGGTCGCAGTTTGAGTTAGCAAGGCCTACTCAAACATACAAAGAGCTCATTAACGCTCTTCCTCCAGTCTTTGCTGGCTCTGAAGAGAGGCTTGACAAGATAATCTCTCTTTTATGCTCAGCTGCCAAAGCCTTGCTCAAAGAAAATGATCTCCATATTCCTCCATGGAGGAAAGCCGAGTACATGCAGTCAAAATGGTTCTCCAAGAACTGCAATAAAGTCTCAGTCATGCTCGACCCTGAACTGGGCTCGGATGCAAGTGAAGAGAAAAACAGGGCTACATGTTGTCCCTCCATCTTTTTAGCAGAGGAGCAATAACTTCTAGCAAATTATAAAGCCTAGAGAAGAAAGAAATCAGTACTGGTGCATGGTGGGTTCTGCCTTGGTTCGAGCCAGTTTTGTTAAACCTCTAGTACATGTTAATCTGGAGTTTATTTCTCTTTCCATCTTCAAGCAAATTTCAAAATTTAAATCTGGGTCAGTTTTTGAGGCAGACCTCAGTTTTTGGATTTTGTACGTTTCTGTGGACCATATTACTATCAAGGGCGCTTGTCCTCTTCAATTATGAGCCTTGCCAATTTTGTAGGAAGAAGGGGATCATGAACTGGAGCAAATATTGCTAGCCATGTGATCTGCTATTTTGCGATAAATGTTATTATGGGTGTGAGACTTATGGAACCCACAACACAGCTTTTTTATCGAACGTTTATGTCACTGTTACCGCCTGTCTTCCTTTATCGATCAACCACACAAGCTTTCTTCCATTTCAGGAGCGCTGGTGCCAGTTACTTGATAGAGAACCAAGCAAATTTCTAGTATATTTTATTGGAAACAGTACTTGTAGAAGGAGATTGCCGTGTACACTAACCAATTAACTGAGACTAAATTACTCGTAATTAGAGTGTGATGACTCATCTCGGGACCGAGTCAGGTTCAAGAATTGAAATTGAAAACCTGGAATATTATTGTAGAATATTATAAACACGGTCGCTTCAAACGTGGATTGTAGGAGGCGGACTGCACAATTTCGCATTGAAACTTTACAGAGGTTATCAAAATGTTGTTTTATTTGCAAACAGATCAATATTTAGTGATTGTTTTAATTACTCTGATCAAAATACACCTTTTCCACCATTTAAAAACTCTTAATCATTGAAAATTCTTTGTGGGTGTTTCTTTGATCTACCAATATTCTATTCTTTAGCAATGGTATTAAACCTGCTCAACCCATCCCGACCTTGGCGTATAATCAATTTTTTTTTTGAATTTTTAAAACAATTTTATTTTAATTTTCTTTAAAATTATTAACTCAAAGTAATTAGATTTAATCTACTTAATTTTTAATTCGGATTTTATACCGGTTAATTCTTGTGTCAGGTTTAACTCTGTGGTTATCTCACTTTGGTAAAGACAAAATTCTTCGATACCAGTCTCTATAATTTTTTAAAATTTACTTGGCAGACTGACTCTTTTTTTCTTTTTTATAATTCCCCCAGAAATGAACTCAAACTCGACGTAGAAACATAGACGTCAAATTATATATATATATATATATATATAAACCATAAAATCCAACAATTAGTATTCTTGGGAGAATTAATAAAGGGAAGGAAACTACGCTGAAGATAAGTGGGCAATTAACGATAAGAACGACAACAGGGAGTCATGTAGGCAGACACTCAGCTTCTGGAATCGGGAGACTAATAAAATCCTGTTATACAATTTAACATCCTTTTCTCAGTTCATTGACGGCAGCATACACTGTATAGTTTGAAGAGTGCATCCAATGAAACGGAGCGAACACCTAGGAGAAAAGTGCAGGTGTATGACTTGGGTTCCAAGAAACATTCATGAGAGCTAGTTTTTGTCTTTTATTGCTTTATTACAAGCAAGGCAAAGTCGTCCTTTGTACAAGCCATCAATGTTCATTACAATCGCTGCTAGATTGGTTTTTAGTATTTTTTATTTAAAAATATATTAATTTTTTTAGAAAAATTATTTTTGACATTAATATATTAAAATAATATAAAAGATTTTAATTTAAAATAAATTATTATTTTTAAAAAAAGTTTCAAAACAAAAAATAAATAGAATTCTGATTCAATATACATGTACATGCATATCTACACATCAACCACATGCATTGTGGAGCATAAGCAAAGCAAATACTTTCTGAGCAGTTATAGTGAAACAGTACTCTAGTAAATATTTCATAACAATTATAATTGATCGATATGATAAATGGAGATATAGTGTTGTCATTATGATTTTTTTTTCAACAACAAAATTAGATCCGATTATTTATCCCCAGCACCCCTAAACTGAAGCCATCAGACACAAATAATAGAGAGGAGTTTTTTTTTCAAGACACAAACTAGATTATATATATATATATAAAATATAATTGCAATTATTTTTTATTTAAAAAAATTATTTTTATATAATATATCAAAATAATTTGAAAACATTAAAATTAAAAATATATTAATTCAAAATAAAAAAATTTCAGTTCTTTTAAAAATATTTTTAAAATGCAATACGAAGCATAGCAAGAATACTAGTTTCTTTTAATCTGCCTCTTGAGATAAATGAAAACCCAACTTACTAATTAACTGGTTTTAAATTAATAAATGAAAATCCTGGATTTTTTTTTCAAGTGACGATTCTCATCTTCATATAGCAATTAAGCGTTTATTTGAAAAAAATAATAGTAATCAAAACTTACTTTTTTTTTTAATAGAGTTCTCACTCTTTTTTTTTATATATGGGAATGAGTTATTTTGGTTTAGTTCAAACAGTTCATTATACAGGCACGCCAGGAATTTACCATACAGTACCCAAAAAGATATTAATGAATTTACCAGAGGAAAAACTGAGAGAGATTTTGACAGGAATAATGATTACTACTCAGATACGTTGGATACTAGTGACACCACACAGAAACTGCAACACCACACAGAAACTGCAACGGAGACAGAATCTTTATGTTGTGCTACAGAAGCTTGATAATCATGCCGAGGGGTACAACACACCGTAGCCACAATCAGAATTCCGAGATAAAGCCAGGTAAGGGGAGGGTTCTTTTAAGTTGCCATTTATGGCGGTGCGAGCCAATTCATCTGCAGGAGTTGCTGTTACCTATTATCAGACAAGGGCCTAGGGTTTCATCATTGAATTTCCAGAAGCGCAGCTAACCTATAAATGCCCGTACTAGTATATATTTTACTCAGCTAAATACAACCACACGATAACCAGTAGCCACTGTAATTGGCTGAAAGCATCCCTTCGGTTCCGATAACCGTGCAGAAGTCCCTGTCGCGTCACAAATCGGAAACTGGAGTCCATTTCAATCATTCAAAAGCTGCATTGGCAACTCTCATGCATATGAACACACTCACATCCATGAACAGATCCTCCATGCACCATACATCCATGTGCATACATACGCGCTGGGATGATAGCTTCTCATCTCATGGATAGCATAGTCAATCCCTACTTTTACACGAAATGCTGAAACTTTCCACACAACAAAAAAGACACCTTCACTAACAGACCCGAAGTTTCATGAGAAGTCTTTAAGACTTTACTGGTAGACGTTAATGTTTCATTAATTAAGGCTATTTTTTAATTTTTTTTTAACTGACCCCAATGTCAAGTACCATATAGAAAAACACAAGGTTCCTTTTATCGTATATGAAATGTGATCCAAGCACTAAAAGATATCTGGCTGACTGGCTCAATAAACAAAAAAAAATAAAAATTGTGATGAAGCTGCCAGTTGAGTTTTCTGTTGAGAGTTCGGGAAAAGGTGACATGAGATACATCCCTTAACATGGATTTAACAGGGCTGAGGGCTTTTGGAATTCTTCACTTTTCCACTCTCATGCCAGGGAATGATACATTTCAATTCACTTAACGCCCGATGCAGCGATATCTGGCATATGACGGCAGCTGCTGCAATCTACTGACAAATTCTCGACTTCGATATAAAGCCGCAAACAATTATTTACATGGCTCTCAAACAGCTACAGATAGCTATTTCACTTCAAGCGACATTGGTGCTGGATTTTGCTATTCTCTGAGCTTCTTCCAGGTCACTCAGGAACCTGCACAGAGACATCTCATCATCAAGCGTGTATACAATGGTTCCTATCAACTGTCATCCCCATGTTCATCCTACAAAATTAAGTATTATTTCCACACGTCTCCTAAAGTACTAATTGATCGGACCAAAGTCTCCTTTGGATGCAGCGATGTTCCAAGTTTCCACCAGTAGGCAGGTAGAAGTCAAGTGAACAGTCTAGCACGGACAGGTTTCAACATAAGGTCAAGCCAACTTAACATTAGCCTGACATAAATAATATCTTGTTTGCCAAGGGTTTTGTGTAAAATATTTTCCCGAGGAATAAAGTTTGTCTACATAAAAATGAGTTATTTTCTATTATTTAAATGTATTAAAAAATATATTTTCTTGTAAAATAAATTATTTTTCATTAATAATAATGAGTAGAAAAATTATAATTTTTATGATAAAGATAATGGAGGTGATTTTAGGTAAGACGGTAGCATTTATGGTGGTAATTATAATAGTAATAATATTGATGATTGTGTGATGATAATGATATAATAATAGTTGTTATGGTGATGATAATATTTGGTGATGGGAACCATAATAATAGTTGTTATGGTGATGGTGATGATAATATTTGGTGATGGGAACTAGTAATGGTGGTGGTGAGGTGAAGAGGCGATAATGCTAATAAAGTTGGGAGGGTTTATGATAAGACGATGGTTATGATAGTGGCTAAGCAGGCAACTTGGGATGACAGTAATGCCAGTAGTGGTAGTTCAAGTGGTGAAGTAATGAAATTTATTGTATTAAAAAAAAATAATTGTTAAAATATTTTTCTTCAAATTAGAACTATTTAGGGTTGATTAGAAAATATTTTTTATTGATTTATTTCTCCATATTTGTTTCACACTCAAAAATGGAGCAAAATATTTTCCTAAAACATATTTTCTGCAAAACAAACACATCCTAAATAGACCAAAATAATCCCTTTATCCTTCAAAAGCAAGAACACAAGTATATGAAGATCAAGTCAGCATTTGTTTCCAAGACTCCTGTACCATTCGTGGAGCATAAGAAACATTGCAACAGTAAATTTTTGTTCAGCCTGTTCATAATCCTAAGGAATGAAGTAGGGCAGTAGGCTGCATTAGCCAAATGGTTGCTATCAGTTCAAGGACACATGATGTCTGGTTCTGAGCATCCACTGGAACAACATAATCACAATGATGACAGACTTACCTCTTAGAATTGAGAACTGCAGATCCACCAAGTATAAAACGAATTCCAGAAATGCTGGCGTTTTGAAGAGCAATGGAGCGTGACTCCTCGTATGTTGTTCCACCAACAATGAAAATAACCACATCTTGCGGCCTGCACCAATAATAGATATAAATCATTCTAATAGAATGCAAATCATTATATGGTTTTCCGTTTTCTAATATGTAAGCAAAGTGCTACAACAGCAAATCATCATGTTCAGTTTGGCCTTATTTACTGGGGTTTGACTTACCACAGCATCACATTAACTAACCTGGGAACAATTCTGAAAGTACAACAGAAAAATATTTCTCCATATTTACAATACTAACCTTCCCTGTTGAAAGTGATTCCCAACAAATGGA